GTAATTGTATTTTAAAAAATAGTTTTAAGGAAAAGAAACTAAATTATCTAATTGGTGACGTAAATTTAAATTGTTTTGAATATCACGTTAATAGCAACATTAAAAAGTTTTACGATGACTTATTCGAACATGGATCAACTCCACTAATTAACAAACCTACTAGAGTAACCTCAACTTCAGCTACCTTAATTGACAACATTATAACAACTGATATCTGTAATGAAACTCTTAAAAAAGGTATAATAAAAAGTGACGTTTCCGACCACTTCCCTATTTTTTTCTCTATTAATATTGACAACAAACTAATACAACAACATAAAAAAAGTCATTATCAAACGCTTTTTCACCGATGCTAATCTTGCGTCGTTTAAGGATCAATTATCTTTAATAAATTGGAATCATATAAACAGTTCGTTTGAAGCTAATGAAGTATACGATACATTCTTTCAAACTTTCTATGAAATATATGATGTAAATTTTCCAAAACGTGAGTTTATTATAACAAATAAAAGTTTAAAGTCACCATGGGTCAATAAAGATCTTAGGAAATCCTCAAAAATAAAGCAAAACCTGTATATAAAGAACTTAAAAAAAACCAACACTAGAAAATAAAATTATTTATAAAAATTATGCTAAAATGTTTGAAAGTCAAAGAAAAAAATTTAAAAAAAGATATTACTATGATTTACTAGGAAAAATATATAACATAATTCAAAACGCACATGGCAAATTATAAGTCAAATTACTGGAAATAGTAAATTAAAATTATGCTCTATACCTAACACTATAAAAGTTGATGGTATATTTTTATATGAACCCAAACAAATTGCAAGAGAATTAAATAAATATTTCGTGTCTGTTGGCCCAAACTTAGCTAAAAATATTCCAAATATGATTAATCCAATAAATGGTTACGTGTTTCCATTAATCTCTAGTTTAAATAAATTTGAAGTATCTTCTTCAGAATTTGAAAGTGCTTTTAAAATGCTTAAAACTAATAAAGCAGTAGGTCCTGATGATGTAAATTGTAATATAGTCATAGATTCATACAATACCATAAAACATATTCTTTTTAAAGTTTTTAAATGTTCTATTAATCAAGGACCTTTCCCCGATCAATTGAAAATAGCCAAAATAACGCCTGTATTTAAAGGAGGTGAACCGTCTAATGTCAGTAATTATCTATCCTCTCTGTTTTTTTAAAATTTTAGAAAGAATTTTGTTTAATCAAATATCTAATCATCTTGCTATTAATAATATACTTTACATAAACCAATATGGTTTTAAAAGAAATAACTCTACTGAACATGCATTAGTTCATCTTACTCATAGTATAACTGATTCTTTCGAAAAGTCAGAGTTCACTTTAGGCGTCTTTATAGACTTATCTAAGGCTTTCGACACAATTGACCATGAAATACTGTTTAAAAAACTTGAACATTATGGTATCATCGGTAATGCTTTAAAACTACTAAAAAGCTATTTAAAACATCGCAAACAATTTGTCTATGTCGACGGATCTTCTTCACAAGATTATTTAAATATTGATTATCTAAATATAACCTATACTAGGGCCAATAACGTTAACGATCTCCATGTAGTCTCAAAATTAACAACTATAATGTTTGCTGATGATACAAACCTATTCCTATCAAATAATAACATCGACAAACTTTTTTTATGATATGAACATTGAACTAATAAAAATATCTGACTGGTTTAAGTTAAATAAACTTTCACTCAAGATTGATAAAACTAAATGGATTTTCTTTCATCCACGATTTAAAAAACATTTACTTCCAAGTAATATGCCTCTTCTTCATATTGATAATATTCAAATAAAAAGAGTAGTTTTCACAAATTTTCTAGGTATCATTGTTGATGAAAATCTATCATGAAAGAATCACATCGGACATTTATGCAACAAAATTGCAAAAAGCATGGGAGTTTTATATAAAGCAAGAAGCGTTTTAAACAAACATTCACTAACTCAACTATATTACTCTTTCATACATTGTCGTATTAATTATGTTAATATTGCATAGGGTAGTACCCATAAAAGTAAATTAAAGCCACTTTATTGTCAGCAGAAGCATATTGCACGTATTATAAATTTCAAAAATAGTTTTACTCACTCAAGGACACTTTTATTTTACATGAATGTTTTTAATATATATCAAGTAAATGTTTATAATGTTCTTTGTTTTATGTTTAAATGTAAAACCAACTCTTCTCCAGCTTCCTTTTTTGATTTATATTCTTTAAAAGAAAAAAACAAATATTCTTTAAGAAATGATAATTTTATTAAACAACCAAAATTTCAAACAAACTTTAGTAAATTTTGCATTTCTTTTCGTGGAGCTTTTTTATGGAACCAAATAATTTTAAAAAATTTTGATTTTTCTCATGAATGGAATTATTATATGTTCAAAAGAAAACTAAAAAAAGTAATATTCTCAATTGAAAATATAGGGGAGAGCGGGGTTGGTTGTCACACTTTTTACATTTTAGGCTGCTCAGCTTTTAATTTTCATCCAATCAATGCCAAACTTTGCACAAAGCTAATTTAACTATTTCCAGTAACTATTATAATATTTTTATGACATTGAGTGAAATATTTATTGCTGTAAAATCATTTTTCAAAGACCACTTCTGTGTGACAACTAGCCCCGCTCACGGGGTAGGTTGTCACATGGTGCGGGGTTGATTGTCACATTTGGATTTTGACAAGTTTAGATAAGAATT